GTAATGTGTCCCCACGCCTCCCGCCAGCCGCACAAGCGACTCTTTTCCTTCGGCGGTAATTACGGTTTTGTATAAAACCCCACTGAAGTGTGATTTTTGAGTTTGGTTTTTTGTTTTTTTTCTTTTTCGGGGGGGGGGGGACACGCTTTCTTACGGAGGAATCGCCTACACAAACGTTCGCCGGGCTCCGAACACCGCCGGCGTTTTCCCTGCGCGCCGCGATGCTACGCCCCTCGCCCTAAAGTCCGGCGCCTTTTTGTTCAAAGGTTAAATAACTCGGCGCTAACGACTGCGTTGGCAATTTAACTTCATCTCCGCAGCCTTCCGCTTGCGTTACGGGGCCGCCGTCCGCCTTACGCGGCGGAGGGGTGGTTATATTGATGATACCACGTATATTTCTCTAATTTGCATCCGGTGACGCGTCGGATTTATTTTCCAAGGTGTTTCGGTTTCCTCTTTGGCTTCCAAACTTGAGCTCTTTCTCTCGGCCGTCTTGAGTGGCGTTCCGGCGACTTTACGGCCATCGAGTGCTTAAAAATCGCCGTTTCTCGGGAGGAGCGGCGGGAAGAAGGCGCCGTGAGTTAACTCCGCGTTGTGTCCCGCCTCCAGGTGCTTCACCAAAAGCGACGGCTCTTTCGGCGCCGCCGCACCCGTCGTCCCCTTCGGAGCGCCACACCAGCGGGACCTTTTGGAGATGAAACCTCTGAATCGCCGGGTGGTGGTGACCATGTGTTTGGCGTCCGCCCTCCCGGAACGCGACGTCCGGCTGGAGGAAAACGACGGCAAAGAGAAAACAGACCAACCTTCCGTCCAGCATCCCTGCTGTCGGGAAGCCGTAAATCGGCTCTCCGTGGATTACGCGGACGGTAAGGCCTTCCGGAGAGGATAGAAGGTGGGAATAAGCCATTAGGGCGCTTCGTTTATTAGGGAGAAGCTAGTAATTAAGCCGGCAAAAGACCCGGCTTCTTGCAAAAGATGGTTTTGAAGCGTTGCGCTTTTCCCGTCGCGGAAAAACGGGAACGGCGACGCTCGTGGCTGTCGTTGTCCGTCCCCCCCCTGGCCCCGGTGCAATCGACGCCTCTCGTTAAGCGGGAGCGGCCTCCGGATAACGAGGCTGGGTGCGATTTATGCAGCGCCCCTGTGGTCTCCCGCCCCAAACGCTTACCTGATGGAGTTTTCCCTAACGAGCCCATCCCGCGGGCACGGAAAGGCGGGGAAAACGGAGGTTGACATGTTGGGTATCGCGCTCGCTCCGAGCCGGCTCCTCACGTTTTGTGAGGAGAGAGCTGAGAAGGAGCATCGCCCGCTTTCATCGATCCCAATTATTTATTTTTTTTTGGGGGGAGGAGTTTGTTGGGTCCGTTGAGCTGAAAGAGGAGACGATCTGGTTCAAAACCAAACCAACCAACCCCAAAAATAACCCGCCGACAACCGGCCCGCCTGGCTCTTGCTTTGCAGGTGAGGACTGCGGCCACTCGGAGACGTCGAACCGCGTCTTGAGCTGGAGCCCCCTCATTCTGCGGCCTCTTCCGAAGGACTGGAAGGAAAAAGGAGGATGGAGTTCATCCGGAGTGGCCTTAAACGCTTCTGGGGACCTTCGGCGGCTGCAGCCGCGGGAAACCTGAGGAAGTGACCGCCGTCCCCACTTAACGCCAGTAACTGCACAGCCCAGCGGCTGAAAGGGAGTGATGGAGGGATGTTAATTATAACAGAGAGAGTCACTATTTATTTTAATTTTTTTTTTTTTAAATTTTTTTTTTGGTAGTAGCGTCATGTGAATGTATCACGTTTTTAAAAACGCCTTTTTTTATATTATTTATGCCTCGAA